CACCTTGTTGTCTCGGATTCTCCAGCATCTGCAGTTCCTACTATCTCTGATTCCATAGTCCTATAGTTACCTTTAGCCCCATCTGATATTTAACTCAATGTTACACAGTTGTAACAGGACTCAATTATAATGCACAGTCCCATTTAATATATCATATGACAGACTTGTGACAACATATGATAGAAACATAGAAAATAGGAACAGCAGTCAGCCATTTGGCCCATCTAGCCCAATCTAACATTCAGTATGATTACGGATAATGCACTATCTCAATGCCATGCTCCCACTCTCTTCCCATAAGCCTTGGTTCTATAAATCTGTTCAGTGATATGCCGTCCACAGGTTCACTATCTTATAAGTGAAGGACTTTCTCTTATATCAGTCTGAGATGGCCTACCAAGAATCCTGAGTGTGAGACTCATGAGCCAGGGGATACATTATCCCTGGATCCAATCTGCCCAGTCCTGTCTGAATTGTATATGCTTCAGTGATATGCCCTTTCATTCTTCTGAACTCAAGTGAGTACATGCCCAGTCAACTCAATCTCAATTCATATGACAAAGCTAATACCCCAGGAATCAGCTTAGTGAATCTGCAGTGCACTCCCTCTATGGCAGGGATATTCTCTCTCGGGTAAGGAGTCTAAAAGTGCATGCTTCATGTGTAGTAAACCATTCTTATTCCTGTATTCAAATCCTCTTGCAACGACGGCCAAAGTACCATTTGTCTTCCTAACTGCTTATTGCTTTCAGCAAGTAGTTTTCAAGGACATCCAGGTCCCTTCATATAACCACATCTCTCAATCTATCACCATTTAAATAATATTCTGCCATTCTGTCTTTCCTATTGAAGCAAACAATTGCACACTTATCCACATTATATTGCATCTACCATGCATTTGCTCACTCACTCAACTTGTCTAAATCACACTGAAGCCTCTATAGCCAATTTTGTGACATCAGCAAACTTGAAAATATTACATTCGATTTCTTCATCCAAATTGTTGATGTATGTTATACATACATCACTTATCATCACCTTCCACTCCAAAAATGCCCCATTTAATGCTTCCCAGTTTCCCAAGTGCTAATTCTCAATCTATTAGAACATATTGCCTCTCATCCCACGTACATTAACTTTTACGTGGGGCTTTATAGAGATCTTTTGGTAAATACGAATATACCACTTCCATTGGTTCTCCGTTATCCATGAGTTTTGTCCCCAAAAACCCTAACAGGTTTGGCAAACTAACTTTCCTTTCAGAAATCTGGGTGGACTTTGTATACGTCCATAGATATTTTCTAAGAGTCCTATTATCGTATCCTTTACGATAGATCCCAACTTTTTCCCTACAACTGATGTCAGACTAAGCAGTCTGTAAATCCCAGTTTTCTCTCTCTTTCCTTTTTAAATAGTTGGGTTACATTTTCCACGTTCTGATTTGCCAGAACTGTTCCAGATTTAGCAGAATTTTGGAAGATGACAACCCACACATTCATTATTTCCATGGCCATCTCCTTTAGTACCCTGGCATGTGAATTATTAGGCCCCTGGGATTTCAATAATTTTCAGTCCCATTAATTTCTCCAGTACTAGGCTTTTACTAATACTAATCTCTTGCAAATCAATATTCCCAATAAACCCTTACTTCCCTTGCATTTCTGGCAAGTTATTTGTTATCTATGAAGACAGAAATAAAGTAATAGTTTAATTCCTCTACCATTTCCTGTTTTCCATTATCAATTACCCTGCATCAGACAGTGAGGTCCTGAATTTTTTTGAACTACTCTTCTTCTTTTCACATAGAAACATAGAAGATAGGAGCAGAAGGAGGCCATTTGGCCTTTTGGCTCTGCTCCGCTATTCTTCACGATCATAGCTGATCATCCAATTGAATAGTCTAATCCTGCTTTCTTCACATAACCTTTGAATGTGTTCAAGAGGTGGCTAGATATAGCACTTAGGGCAAATGGGATCAATGTTTTAGCATCAACTACTTCCTGTGGTAATGAATTCCACAGGCTCACCACTCTTTGGGTGAAGAAATGTCTCATCTCCATCCTAAATCGTCTACCCCGAATCCTCATACTGTGACCCCAGTTCTGGATACACCCACCATCGGAAACATCCTCCCTGCATTTACCCTGTCCAGTTCTGTTAGAATTTTATAAGTCTCTATGATATCCCCCTTTATTCGTCTAACAGTCTGCTTTTACGTCAATTGCAAGTTGACCCTAATACATTAGTTTTCCCCTCTTAATCAACCTGTTGATCCTCCTTTGCTGAATTCTTAACTTCTCCAGTTCTCAACTTTGCTTCAAATACCATCTGCCTGAGTTTCCTTGATCTTTTGCATCTACCCATTGAAGCTTGCATCTGATAATTCTCTGTCCACAAACACAGCAATTGCCCCAGCTTTCAGCCATATTCCCTGCCTGGCGCTGGTCTCTGCACTCATTTATCTGGTTTGTTGTATTTTATACATCTCTGCACAATGCAAGGTTGGCTGTCATTTTTAAGTGCACGTCAGATTTATTTACAACAGTTTTAATATATCTGTACCACCACAAATTATCTGTACTCATGCTCACAGCTCAGTTTCTTTGCTTTGAGTTCACAACAAGGCTGAATTAATCAAGCACAGTAAAGCATAAGTACATAGATTCATAGAATCCCTGGAAGCAGGCCATTCAGCCCATGGAGTCCACACTGACTCTCTGAAGTGCATCCTGCTGAGCCATACACCACCCCCCGCCACTCCCGCTTCATTCCATAACCCTGCACTTCCCATGGCTAATCCACCTATCTTGCAGATCCCTGCACACTACAGGCAATTTAGACGGCCAACCCGCTTAACCTGCACATCCTTGGACTGTGGGAATAAACTGGAGCACCGGGAGAAAACCATTGCAGATACAGGGAGAATGTGCAAACTCCACATAGTCTAAGGAGGTTAGAATCAAACCCAGTCCCTGGTGCTGGGAGGCAGCAGTGCTAACCACTGGGCAATCATGCCATACATAGCCAAGCTCAAGTAATCAAATTGCGAAAAATTTAACATATGACCTTGCAAAACTACAGACGTTATCCGCATGAAATAATCCTAAACAACAAACACATGTACCGTTAAGTTGTTTCTTTAGCGTTCAGCTTGTCTGATTTCCCTAAGTGCAGAAATTGGTTCTGAGAAGAGAGTCCCTGGTATATGCTTTAAGATCTATGAATTTGAGGTTATATTCTATGCAATGAGATGAATGATCAACGTCATATTAAAGGAACTGTGTCCCCAGAATATCTCAATCTGCTCACTATTACATGTCTCACATTCCATTTTGCGCTGTCATCCAAAGATAAGCCTTGGTACCGAGTAACTGTCGGATTTTGTATGGGACGTGTTAAAATTGAAGTAGTTGGTCATCATGATTTGGTCACCAGATAGGAACCCAATCTTCAACTCCAAATCAATGATTCCTATGCGTAGATTTGTTTGTCAGAGTGCTTTACCTTGCTGATTTACAATTTATTCCGCTTTCAGTCTGACATTCTTGTTGGAAGTCAGTGACTGTTTGAATGACAGGGGCATGCAAAGGTTACAACCGATGGTACGTTTGGCAGATATCTTTCCAGTTGGAGAGAGTGGTGGTGGATCAATATGTGCAGTGCAGAGTATGAATAGATTGTTTGAAAGACTTCCTTCCCTCTGACACACCCTTGATCATTCTGTTCAATTATGCACAAGGATTGTATCATGGAAACAAACTGTAGCCCATTGACTGTCATGATTGTTTTACAAAACAGTGTTTATGGAGACTAATTGTCCAATCAATGACTGAAGTGGTTGCTGCAGAATTTGTGCAATAATATCTGGCCATTTTTTTTACATTAAAAAAATGAACAAAAAGCAAACCTTGTTGATTGTTGATTCGTT